TCTGTTCATTTGTTTGGAASCGAGTATTGGGAGTCAACTGGGGCCCCCCTTTTCAGGTTTATTATGTCAGGCCTTCTTACCCCAAGGCTCAAAAATAGAATTTTGAAGGTCCATGAGCCTCAACTACTATACAAAATCTAATAGGCATTTGTGTTGTTCTTGGGGAAGGGCCCAAGATTCTCAGAGGAGTCTGTTTCCTAAAGGCTGGGAAACACCGAGCTGTCGAGAGATTCCTAGACCATGAGTGGCCTGTGCCCGGGGGGGGCTGGGCTGCAGGTGGGGAGTCTCCAGGACTGGGAGGAGTTGATCATGCCTGGGGACAAAGGACTGCCATCTGCACTGATGTGGCCACGGGGATCATCTTCACTCCTCAGGACTCATTGATCTGTACCTAAGAGCTCAACAATTTCATACCAAGCTTATGAATGGAGATAAAAACCTGAGCCTGGGCCTGAGACCCAGGGATAGACCACATCTTGCCTGTTGTGACTGAAGAAGGAGCTGGAAGGTTTGCAGTTTTCCTCCTTGGCTATTTGGACTCCCAGGATGTTCTGGGAGAGGGCTCTGAGGCCGCAGGTTGTCCAGAGGTGCCCACTATAGGTCACTGCCAGGCCAGGACACACCTGGCGGTAACCACAGACCACTGCACGCCCCCACCTGGGCCAGTGTCTTGCATTAGTGCTATTTCTTTCACTTGAGTATGTGTACTAAACTCCACCAGATTCCAGACCACTAGATGTCAAGACCCTTGTCAAATATCAATGTCACATACCAATGGTGCTTACGAATTATTTTTTTTAAGTGAATAAGTGACAACATATTCAGCAGCTCAGTAGCTATAGCGGGTGCTTCCTCCAATTTAAAGAGCCCGGGAAAGGCCTTCCTCTTAACAKTGGCAGATGGTTCTGAAGTCGCCACTTCTATCAATGCAGGTTCTGAGACTGATGGAAAGCAGAGTCATGGACCCTGGCTGGGAATTCTTAAGTTCTTATGCTCCTGCAGTCCCTGATGGTCTATAAAGAGCTTAGGCGCATGTTCTCAGGAACCATGTGCTGTTTTCTAACGTAGCAGGGACCTGGTCTCTCTCACTCCTCCTTGGGGCAACCTGGACAATTTAGGTTGATTTCTAGAGAAATAAGTTCCCCAGCTTCCCTCCCATTGGGTTCTGGAGGGAAGCAGTCAGTTACCAAGACTTCTGTTCCTGCTCTTTAAATGGGTCTGCTCTGGTTCTATCTTTAGCAAGCGTTTAGATAAGACCTGAAGAGTTCATGTTTTCCTGGCAAAACCTGGAGGAATACTTTGTTGTTCTTTCCCATAAAACAATGGAGACTGGAGGGCCGCTTGGCAATAAAACAGTCAGGTTGATCTACTTAGACTAGGCAGCCAGGCCCAAAGGGGAGCTCCTCTCAGCACAGCGGCAGCCTGTCCGTCCCACCAATGWTACTATTTGGGCTGCAGGTGAAGCCATGGCAGGGAAAATGTCCAGTGGAGGTGACTGTCATCTGAGGAGATTCCAACGGTGATGATGGGCTCCTGAGGAATTAGAAGGGTTGGGCTGGGAGGATTCCAAAGGCTGGATGAGTCAGGAAGCTTCTGGAACCACCCTGGGGCCAAAGGGCACAGAGGTATTTCTACCTCTTAATGGCTACTACTCATAAAACCTGGGGYAGCATCACAAATGGTATCAGGGAAAAGATTCCAGAGCTAAAGATAGAATGGCAAAATAGGAGCACTGCAAAGTGAGAGGACCTTCCAGGACAGCCTGATGCTGGTGACGTGAGGCATTAATTCTTACACTGTGAAGAGGAAGAGGGAGTAGTGCAGTACAGGGAGTGATTCCCAGACGGGGGCCCACCCYCAAACAGAAGCCACTAGTATCAGCTGTCCATCCAGACCACCTGGCATCACTCTGGCACCCACAGGGGCAATTCTCYAGCATCATATCCACTCCTTGGGGTTGTCACGTAAGGACACTAGTAAAATATGGGAAGTACTAACAAATTGGTCCAGTGTTAGTCAGCTTTCATTACTATAACAAATACCTAAGATGATCAACTTATAAAGAAAAAAGGTTTATTGGGGCTCACTTTTTTTTTTATATGTCCAGTCCATGATCAATGGGCCCCATTGCTTTTGGGCATGTGATGAGGTAGGCATCATGGCAGGGAGAGTGTGGAGGAGCCAAACCTCTCACTTTGAGGCTGGGAAGTGAAAAAGAGGAAGAGAAAGGGGGCAGCGGCTGCACTCCCCCTTCTAAAGACCACAGTGACCTAGAGACCTCCCACGAGGCCCACCACCTCCCAACAGCACCTCCCTGGAGACGGTGTCTTTTACCACATGGGCCTTCAGGGGGGATTCCAGACCTGAACCCTGCCACCAAGAATAGCCACTGCAATGGAAGTTTGGAGTTTAAGAGGTTGGCAATGAGTATCAGGGAGCAGGCCAGGAGAGTTTAATAGCAAGGGAGGAGAATGTTCGGGGGGAGGGACCATCTGGGACAGAGGGATCAGATGCAGCCCTGAGGACACCGGATTTGGAGCGTCTACACCAAGGCAAGCAGGAAGTTTGGGRATGACTGCACTAGGGACCCCCCACATCAGTCTTGCTGACACTGATGCTCTTCCTAGAGATGGATCTGCTGGGATTTCCCCAATTAACTTGAGAGAAACACAGACGCATATCTGCCTCTGACCCAAGGCAGGCTGACTCCTCCTCTTCTCTCCTGGTCATCCCTGTCCCACCTCCTGGGACTCTTGCCCCTCCTAAGGGATGTGAGTGACTCGGCTGACAAAGAGCAAGGGGCAGGGTCCCCAACCCCACCCCAGGTTGTAAAGGCACCRAACACTGAAACATCTCCATTGTACAGTATCCGCCTTCCTCATTCATCAGCTCATGGATGTACTACATTATCCGGCTCTCTGCTTCCCAAATGATCAACAACCCATATGGCTGTTTATTTAGCAAGGTCACAAATATTGGGCATCACCAACATCACTATCTGGAAGAAAGCCAGTCATGCATCCCGGTAGAAAATGGAGCTCCCAATAGGGAGGGAGCTTGCCGTCAGTGTAAGAAAGCGACTGGGTGAGCTCACACCGCATGACGCCGCCGAGGGTGATATATGGGTTTGGCCCTACATAGAAGGCACACTCAAGATTCTGCCTCTTTATTATTTTTACAACTTCCAGCTCAGCCAATTGTTTCAAATCACTTTGCTTTCTCAGCTTTTGCTTAGAAGTATACAGATGGGGATCCTGGACTTTTTTTTTTTTAAAAAGTGAAAAATTCTCACTTTGCTGTTATTAATTAACCAAGCAATTGGCATCCTTTGGGTAGCCTGGTAAATTGGGAAACTGGATCAAAACCACCAAGTGTGGTCTTACCTTTAACCAGAGGCCACACAGAGTCCATCTGTCCTCAGATAACAATCCTAGCTGTATACCATGGATGAGAGCTTGATGACCCTAGGCAGGTCACTTGCCCTCTCTTCGCTATTTTTTTTTTCATTTATAAAAATCAAGATTTTGCTCGTTATCCAAAGAAGGTTGTATGATTAAATGAGCTCACAGATGAAGAACTTGCTTTGTATAGTGTAATGTGTCATTAACAAAAAAAAAGAAAGAATGAATGAATGAAAGAACAGGAAGATTCCCCTGATAGGTGTCTCAGATTAATACTAATGGAGAATGCAGAAGACAGGAAGGAGAGGTAGGAGGGGATTTCTGAGAGGTAGAGCTTATTTAACACATAGTTTTGGGTCTTGAACTCTAAATTAGATTAGAACCGGTGCATTTTCATCTGTAATAGTTCACAGAGCAAAATATTTGAATTGAAGGTGAGATTTTTTTTTTTTTCTGGGAGGTGCCCACATGGGCAGCATTGTGAGAGGACTGAGCTGCTTTCCAGGTTGGTCATCATGTGAGTTTGAAGACAATGGAAGGCTGAGGGGCAGGAGGAGGTCTGCGTGGACGTGGCCTTGCTATTCTCCTCCCTTGAGATTTCCCTCTGATTTTTATTTGTTTGTTTGTTTGTTTCTACCAGGGGTTGAACCCGGGGGCTCTTAGTCACTGAGCCACATCCTCAGCCCTTTTGACTTTTCATTTTGAGACAGGGTCTTGGCTCAATTGCTTTGGACCTTGCTCAGTTGCTGAGGCTGGCTTTGAACTTGAGATCCACTGAGATTCTAGGCATGGGCCGCGGTGCCTGGCTTCCTCTGATTTTTAAATGCCATGTGCTTCCCAGACTCTGAAACCTCCTTATCACCTCCTGACGGACATGGAAATACATTTGCAAGTATTGAGAAGATGAATTGGGTTTTCGAACGATGACCTCATGCACTTAGCATCAAAGACTCGAGCTCAGTGCCCCAACAGTGACCTGGACAACTCTGTGCCAGGCCTACTTTGGGGGTCACCGTTAGTGGCCTTCAGGCTCCGGTGGCCTGTATATCTCAGGCCATGTTCTGTTCACTATGTAGCCCCTCAAAAACACACAAGGGAAGGAAAAACCAGATAGAAATGTATCCAGAGAAGTATGCAAAGAAGAATCCATTTGTGATGCAGAGTCTGGAGGGAAGGCAAGCTAGGAGCCGCGGCTGAGCCGCGCGGGGTGTCCTGTGGCTACAGTGGGTGGGGGGTGGGTTTTGTTTAAAGTTGCTTGATTCCACTCCCAGCCAGGAATTGCATCACGTGTTACGGGTGGAAGTTGCTTCTTTTTCAGGACTGAGGCTGAACCAGAAGGTGACCTGCCCTTTGGTGACATGGCTTTTTGATGACTTCCTAAGTGACATGGCAGAGTCTTGTCTGGCCATCTCCTCTGCTCTCAGTGAGCTCTGCAACACCAGGGGCAGTTTTTGTTCATCTCATGACCTCTAGTGACAGGGTAGGGAGGGAGGAGTGATTGGATGTTGGGGGTTGAGAGAGGCTCATGGATAAGCACTTGGGAGTGTTCAGGGCACGGGTCACTGACCTTCCACGGTCACTTGATGTCCCCTCACTCACCATTGCATGATTCATCCATATCGGAAAGATTTCGTCTAGGATCTTGGGGTAAACGAGCTCTCGGTCATAGAGAAAGATGGTCCAGAATACCAAAAATACAAACTGGAAATAAAACAGAAAAAAAAAATAGAGAGAGATCAATAGGTTTGTTTTTCATCAACGTTTTCTAAGATAATCAAGGAAACAGCAAAATAAAAATAGATACCAGTCTTAAAGATACCTCCTATATAGTTATAGGAATGTCAAACTAAAGGAAAGAATGCTTAGGGGATGCCTCCATGTGCTGGTTAGTTAGCAACTCAATGATCTGTTATCAAGGCAGGCAGAGAAGACTGGGATAAGCTAGATAACACAGGCTGGGCGTGGTGGCACACACAACTTAGTGAGACCCTGACTCAAAATAAAATAGAAAATGGGCTGGGGATGTGGCTCAGTGGATTAGATCCCCAGTACTAAAAATAAAACAAACAAAAGACTAGGTGCATAGACTAGGAGCACTCTAACCCACGACTTCTTTCTCCTCTCAGCTTGCACCTGGAATGGCTCGATGCTTACACACTCTTGCCTACCCCTTAAAACTGACCAACTCTTGGGTAACTCAGAAGCGAGCTTGCTGAGAGTGAGATCTCTTCCTTGCCCTGATCTCCATCTATGGCCCTGTCCAAGCATCTGTCCTCTGTGTTACACGTCCATGCTGACCTGGGATGGGGGTGGGGCAACTGTTCATCTTCTGATCTTCCCATCTTCTGAAATTGCATAGGCTTAATTTATAAGCCTTAAAAAAAAAAAACAGATCTCACTGATGATTTTTAAAACTTGATCTTTACAAGACTTTACGGGGTGGACGTGGGGGTATTCAGCCCAGTGAACCTGGAGTGCTGGTGTTGGCTCTGTCACCTGAGAACTCATTCGTGTTTGCAGAGTTGTGTTTTGCATTTGGTTGTGAAGTCGGGGTGTCACAGGAAGCAGGACAATGGCAGGTGGAGGAAGGTGGTCATTGCTTATCCTAGGCCCCGCTGGCCAGCCAGCAGGCTGAACCCCTTCTAGCAATGAACAGGAACAAGGCCATAGAAACGTGGATGGCGTCAGTGAACTAGCTTACTGACCCTTTCACATCTGCCTTTTCCTGATGTCCGTTCATTCAGCAAGAAGAACAAAGCACCTACTGTGTGCCCTACACTAACTAGGCTTGTCTTTCTCTTAGATCGTCTTTTCCAAGTACCAACTCTGAAAGTCTCATCTCTTTTATTTTTGAAATTATTTTAATTAGGTAATTTTTCCACTTGTAGGAGCAACACAGGCTTTTATTGTACCAAGTGAAACAAGCTGTACAACAGGGAAAGCAAGTCACCTTCCTCCCCAGGGCTTTCCAGTCTCATCACCTGGATGGAAATAAAGTTGTCTCAGTGGCACTGTCGATAGGTTAATTCCAAGAACCCCCCAAGGATACCAAAACCCGTGGATGCTCCATACTCTCATACAAAATGGCACAGTATATGCATATAACCTGCACATATCATCTGGTGCACTTTTAATCCCTCTTGATTACTTATATCCAATATAATGTAAAGAGTTGTTACAATGTATTGTTTTTAAATTTGCATTTAATTGTGTTTTTTCCCCCAATATTTTTGATCCCATGGTTGGCTAAATTCACGGATTGAAACCTACAGATATGAAGGACCGACTGTATTTTGACTAAGGAAGATCCTGCAAACTTCCCCATTGGACAGCGATAAGGACCTTGCATTGAGTTTTCACAAAGATACAAAAACTAACGATAAATCTGATCAGTAAAGTGTCCTATTTCCTAATGACCCTGGGCAGTGTGGTACAGCCCTCAGACAGAATGTTTTTGCAAAGGCCGTGGCCGTGGTTTTCCATAATAGGTTCCGGAACAGCCTGGCTGCCCAGAAGAGTCTGTGCACCTGTACGTGTCTATTCCATGAGATCTACGTCCTGGTAACTTACTGTGGACACAGGGAAAGCCAACGTGGTGAACAGCAGATCTCTGAAGGCAGTTATGAACCTAATGTTTCTTCTTCCTTTGATTCTTTTTAGCACATCATCCAGGCAGGCGACCCCGAAGAAAAAGGCCTGCAAGAACTAAATTCATTACAACAAATGAGGGCATTTCCATTTGCTTTAATTAATACCTTCTTCACGGATGTAAAACTGCATCCCTCTGGGAGCAATGTGGGTCTGAGGAGGAGGGGGCTGTTGGGCTGCTTTGGTTAAGAGCCAATTCAAGGGCTGGGCTTCCAGCTCGTTGGACCCTGACCTTGCTCTCTAAAACTGATGGAGGAAATTCATTCACTTAGGGGATGGTGATGGGTACAGTATTTCGTGTAATGGGCTTGAGTTAAAAGGGAAACAAAATTAAAAGTCGGCTTAAAGGGAGACACCTTGGTGGTACCAAAGTGGGAAGAGCCAAACAGAGAGAGCAAGGCAGGACAAAGAGCCAGGTAGGACAGACTGGCCTCAGGTGTCTTCCTGGGAAGAAAAACTAAGAAAAGGGCCCAGGGCTGAAATCTCACTGGGAAAGCCAGGATCAGGGTCAAGAGCACCAGGTTGGAGCTTCCCCCTGGCCTGAGGAAGATACCCAAGATGGAGGCTTGCTTAGCTCAGGAAGGAGCTGGTGTGATTCCTTCCGCTGAGACCCTCTGGCCAAGGGAGTGGTTTAAAATCCAAGGAAGCAGCCAGAAAGCCCTGGGCCCTGGTGAGGCCCCGGAGGCAAGGCCAAAGAGAAGCAGAGGCCCTCTCAGGGAAGCTCAGGTGGAGTGTCCCTTATCCAAAATGCTTGAGACCAGAAGTATTTCAGATTGGGAAATTTTTTTTCCTTTTGATTTTAGAATAAGATATCTTAGGGATGAGACCCAAGTTTACACACAAAACTCATTTATATTTCATATATCCCTTATACAAAAAAAAAAMCCCAAAAGTGATTTTTTTATCATATTTTTTAACGATTTTGTACATGAAACCGAGTTTCTCACTGTGAGATTTTCGCTTGTGTCCTTGCATTGGATTTGGGAGCCTTTGAAATGTCAAGTTCTTTTGGATTTGGATGTTCAACCTGCAATGTGACCCGGAAGGCAAACCTTGCCCATCCTCAGTGTGGCTCACAATCTGGGGACGTCTAATTTAAGGCCTGTGGCGGGGTCGGGTCACACAGAGTCCGGGCCAGTATTGCATTGGGCTCCCGCAGGAATCCGTCCTGATCTTTGGAAGCTCTACACCCGGGGAGTGAGGCCTTTGCTCTTAGGGAGGAGACGGTGAGCCCTGGAGCCGGGAGCTGGGCCAGCGATTAGTCACGTTGGCCGTGGGGCCTGGCCTCTGGGGTCCAGCTCTAGGAGAGACCTTTCATAGTTGTCCTCACACCACTCCCTGGGACAAGGGGTGGCAGGGGAGGATACGGGGTGAATTCAGTCTCTGTTCCCYGCTGGGCCCTCAGACCTGAGCACCGCATCACCTGGAGCTTTTTAGAAAGGCAGGACACGTCCCTCCCCTGGACTGTGGGGTCTGAATCTCTGGAAAAGGGGGTCAAGAAGTTGTTTTGGTAGGCTCTCCAGGAGTTCCTATGTAAGCTGAAGTTTTTTTCCCTAATTTTTATTCTAATTTGTTATACATGACAGCAGAATGCATTAGAATTCATATTACACACATAGAGCATGATTTTTCACATCTCTGGTTGTCTACAAAGTATGTTCACACCATTCATGTCTTCATACCTGGACTTAGGGTCATGATGTCCATCTCATTCCACCATCTTTTTTACACCCTTTCCCGCTTTGTTCTAGCTAGAGTTCATCTAATCTTCCCATGCTCCCCATGCTCCCCCTCCAAACCCCACTATGAATCAGTCTCCTTATATCAGAGAAGACATTCAGCATTTGGTTTGTTGGGGATTGGCTAACTTCACTTAGCATTATCTTCTCCAACTCTATCCATTTACCTGCAAAGGCCATGATTTTATTCTTATTTATTGCTGAATAATATTCCATTGTGTATATATGCCACATTTTTTATCCACGCATCTTCTGAAGGATGTCTAGGTTGATTCCACAGTTTAGCTATTGTGAATTGTGCTGCAATAAACATTGATTTAGCTGTGTCCCTGTAGTATGCTGTTTTTAAGTCCTTTGGGTGTAGACTGAAGAAATTAAGCTTAAGTTTTAAAACTCCTAGATCAGACATAAATTCATCACTCAGAAATCTAACTACTCAAAACTCCAGCAGCTGACTTGAGTCCTTACATGTCTCGTGCCAGACATAACTAAGCTTTATAACTGCACAACCTCATAAAGTGCTATTATTAATCTCCTCAATGCCATTTTACAGATGGGGAAAACTGGGGCACAGAGAGAGAGAGAGATGAACAAACTTGCCGAAAGGCTCATGGCTTCAGAGTCTGGTTCATATACACATATGAACCAGATTTCTATATACACAGCGGATTTCTAAGAACAGTTCACTAAAGCACTGTAGGAGGCGGGAAGAGAGACCATTATTCTCCAGGTGGGGGAATTAAAAATCAAAAACGACTTTTCAAAAACACCCGATGACTCTCCCTAGAGATTCTACTTTAGTGAGTCTGGGGGTGCAGCCTGGGCTTCAGGGTGTCTTCAATTCCTCCCAGAGAGTCACCTGCCTACAGGGACTTCTGTGCAGAGATTCATACCCGGGGTCTTCAGAGAGATGCGGCCAAGGACATCAAGGTAGTCAAAGCCTCCAGGTGCCATGAGACTGGTAAAGAGAGGTGGGGGTGGGAGAGGGGACAGCGTCCTCACCTAAGGGACAGGAGGGGGGCAATAGGCCAGGCAGGTGGCATAGAGAGAGCGAGTGGTAGAAAACCAGGACTGGACAAGGCCCCAGGGTCCCTAAGGAAAAGGGAGCTTCGCGCTGGAAGAGCATATATCGGGAAGGTTGGCAATGGCTATAAATTCCATGCAGGGGCTGCCACCCCAGTTCTTGTCACCTTGTGGGTGCTTTTCACATCATCCCCTCAGGGCTGGGGAATTTGACAGGCAGGCCTTTGCCCAGGATGGCAGAAGAAGCTACCTCCCTGCGGCGGCTCCCCCGGCCCAGGTAGCTCTCACCTCTACCCTGGGTTCACCTGCAGCTGCTCAGGCCCCAACTGGCAGCTGCTTGAGTCAGGAGGAGCAGACCTGGGCCCTGGGACCCGAGACAAGGACTCCACTGTTGTACTGTCCTGCACTGGCTGAGCCTCTGCCAGGACTTCCCCTTGGGGGCAGAGGCTGCCTCCACCCAGCATGTAAAGTCCACGTGACCTACTCTCCTCCAGGCAGAGCTTCCTAGAGTCACTGTGATCAAGCTGAACATCTCTCTCGTTTTCCCCAGTTACAAAACGTGGAATTTGGATGAGGGAAGAAAGCACATTACTCGGCTCCTCCGGGGTTCCTCCATCAATAAAAGTTGGCTCCCCACTGCAAACCTGCCAGTCACCTCCCCCCGCGGCCCCCAGCTCACACTGATGGGACAGGGCATCATCTGTATCAACAAGGGATATCTGGGGAGTCCCCACCTCAGTGCCCAGGAGGGGAGCAGGATGGCATTACCAAGAGGAAGTCACAGGCAGGAGCCACCGCCAAAGCTGGAGGACCAGGAGGGTGAGCCCTGAGCTCTAAGGGGCCGCATGCAGTAGGGGACATTGAGGACAGTTTTGAGTCAACTCATCCAAACAGCCACGGCCTGCTCATTCTCCAAGGACAATATCATCTAATGTTTGTCAAACAGGCCTACAAAGTGCAACCCGGGGAGAAAATGCTAGTTGTCATGAGGTCAGTTGAGTCCAGTGGTGAAGACCTCAAGTCCCATAATTCCAAAAATAACTGCATCTGGAGGTAGGGTCGTTAGAGAGGTAATTGAGTTAAAATGGGCTCAATGCCCTACTCCAACAGGACTGGTGTCCTCGCAAGAAGAGATCATGACACAGACACAGAGGGAGGAGCCCCGAGGACAAGGGAGAAGATGGTATTTGCAAGCCTGGAGAATCCACCCCTGCCCCCTTGATCTCAGCCTGCAGCTTCCAGAAGTCGGGGGATAAAATGGGGCTGGGTCAGCCGCTGGTCTGCGGTGGATGCTACGGCAGCCCTCACACCATGTAATGGCATTAATATGGTAGCAACAACTGGTCTTCTTTGAAGAATCTTGCAACCAAGTGACAATCATTCCCATTTCTCAGCTGGAATTGAGAAATTCCCTCCCAGATATCCCTTGTTGATACAGAAGATGCCCTATTTGGGCTGCCTGAGACAGCAGACGGCACGTGGTCCTCTCTTGTTCTTGCTGTTTGGAAACTTCTGTCTCTGATCTTCTTTTTCTACTGGTTCTTCCATAACTCTGCTCCCATGGAGAGCTCTATACCTTTTTCTAAGATGTTCTAAATTTGTGAGCTGTCTTTGGTTTCTGTTGCTAACTGACGATCTGAACCACCCGTGACCGAGCTGGATTTACATTTTTCATAACTAATGCAGTTTATGAAGCCGTAGTTAAGAGGTATTTACTTTTCACATTCCTGGGTCTTCACAGATCCACAGAAATCTTAAAGCCATGGAAACTTAGCCTAAGTCATCAAGTTTATTTCCCCGCCTTATAGCCAGAGCCCTGCTAAACCACCCCAGGAAATGAGAATTTCTTCCATTAAAAATAATAATAATAATTTCCAGAGAAGGAGATTCCACAAGTTCTCTGCACTCAAAAGTCAAGTGATCCCGGCCCGGCTCAAGATTCTGTGTCTGACTCAGCTGGGTTGGGACTTTTTTTATTCCTCTCCTTCAAAATGATGCAATCCCTGCAATAAATGAATATCCCAGAATAAAAGAGCAATCAGGGTGAACTGTGATGAATAGTCTAGCTCTCAGTGGTGGGTGGGGTGGCATTTGGGGCAGGTGGAAGGGAACCTTGGCCAAGCCTATGGGTGTATTCATGTAACATTCATAGCATTTAGCTTCAGTAAGAAATTGAGATAAAAGGATAAGATAGAGGACACCAGTATGCGGGGAACACCATTTTGAATAATGACAAAAATTTGGATGAAGAATATTATGGGATAGGTGGGGGGGAGCTTGCAYGGCCAGTGTGGCATGGCTGACAGCAAGAATTGGATCACAGTAGAATATCTTGGGATGGAAGCTTTGCAGAGGGGTGGGAAAGGCCCCATGTCTGTTGTTGAAGGGGTGGAGGGAGACAGGAGGGAGAGACCCAGCCAGAATCTCCCTGGAGATGCAGTTACTTATGTGGCACCACCTCTAGCAACCTTTCTGAAGGAAGTTTATTTTTAAAAAGAGGAACCACCAACCAGCCCCATGAACTCTGTACAGCAAGTCTTTGTGGCCAAACATCCCCCAGCCCAGCACCCACCAGCTTGTACTCCCAGGGGTCAAGGACAGTCCTTGGATGAAAGTGGAATGGAGGGGAGGGTTGCAACATTTGTGTAGGACTCAGGCATTGGATGGACGAAGCCAACCCAAGCAGATCAGGGACATCCACAGCTGGGTTCCCACGCCCAGCTTCTGGGGTTCCCCCATTCAGCAGGACTAGCTGCTCTCTGCTTGAACCTGCAAACTGTATCTCTCCAAGAACCCCAGAGCCTGAGGGCAACCACAGCAGCTCAACAGAGGTCTTCCTCCAGCTGGGGTGACAGAGCATGCAGCCAGGGGAAATGGGAGTTTTGAGGGTGGTGGGTGACCCTTGCCCAGCTCCGCCACACACCAACATGGTGTTGAGTGAGGAAACTGATGTTCCTTGGAATCACCCTCTGAGCTGCACTATCTGTGAAAGACAGATGGCTGGAAGCTCACCACCCCCTTCCCACCTTCTCTCCGTCTGCTCACACTGGGCTGTGGCCATTCTGTCTGCTTATCACCTATCAGCTCATCCATCCCTGGAGGCCACACTGTGGTTAAGGACTACTTTCATTTCTGTGAAATTTGTGGAAATTACAAAGAAGTACAAAGAAGTACCTAGACCAAAGTGACAGAGATAGTCAGTGATGGAACCAAGATGACATCTCAGAGAGACAGGCCCAGAGCTCACGACTAACCACCTGACTACACTACCTCTCCCTCCAAAGGCCAATCAGCTGCCTCTGCCCCCTGTGGTCAGTTCACTCCCTCAATAGGCAGAGAGTCACACCTCCCCTCCTCTCCTTCCTTTACTCTTCCTCTTCAATGGCGCTCCACCAGGGCCACCAACCCTGGAGGAACTCCCAACCCGATTCTCTTTGGATAGTTTCAGGGGGGAGTGGTCAGAATGCAGACTGGCACTAAGATGGGCTTGCCTTTTCAAAAGGAGGTGTCAGCAGGACTCAGCCGATGTGAAGTGGCAGGTATTCCAGAGGAGGGGTATAAACTCCCCCAATAACATGGGTGGGATACTAACTTCACCAAGTTGAGCTAAAATAAATACACAGGTGTTATGGTGAACTATGGGACTGATTTATTTGTGTTAACTAATGATCGATTCCATGAATGATCAATGCGATCATCAACGAATCGATCATTAGTTAACACAAATAAATCAGTTAAGAACCCACAGTCATTAACCAGCTCATGAGATCTAGAAATTTTGGAGAACCAATATTTCAACTTCGGAAGGAATTCAAAAGTGATACTACAGGTAAGTAAGCACAGACTGAGAGATGCTCTAAAAAAATCAGGAAAGGAAAAAGGAATTCAGGCTGGAGTCCACAAAGATTTTAAGAAAGAATGTAGGATTTCAGGAGGTCTAAGAAGGAAGAAGTGTTGGAGAGATAACGAGAATACAAGCAGATAAGGAGAGTCCAGCCTAGGGACCAGTATGGGTTGGGACCAATATGGGTTGGGACCAATACGGGTTGGACCCAGGCCTTCTGGCAAAAGAACTCAACCTTCCTGGGGAGAGACCTGAAGGTTGCACCAACAGGTGAATGACTAAAACCAGGAGTTTGGGGATTGGTTCCATAAAACAGAAGGGAGCCACAGAAGTGTCTTGAGCAGCAGATCACAATTTAAAAAGAGCTTATGAATAACCTGACAATAAATGGGCAGATGATAATCAAAAGACATTTCTCAAAAGAAGGAATCCAAATGACCAACAAATATATGAAAAAAAAAAAAGGTCAACATCCTTAGCAATCAGGGAAATGCAAATCAAAACTGTACTGAGATTTCATCTCACTCCAGTTAGAATGGCAATCATGGAGAATACAAAGAACAGTGAATGCTGGTGAGGATGTGGGAAAAGGTCTACTCATCCACTGTTGGAGGGACTCCAAATTAGTATCACCACATTGGAAAGCAGTTTGGAGAGTCCTCTACAGACGAGGATGGCACCACCATATGGCCCAGCTGTCCTACTCTTTGGTATTTATCCAAAGGAAGCCAAACTCGCATACTATAGTGATCCATGCTAACCAATGTTTATAGCAGCGCAATTCACAATAGCCAAGTTACGGAACCAGCATAGGGGAGCTGCCTACAGACGAAGGCACCCATAAAATGTGGCATATGTCCACAATGGAATTTTACTCAACCATAAAGAAAACTGAGATGATGTMATCTTCTGATAAATGGATAGAATTGAAGAACATCATGCTAAGGGACTCAGAAAGTCRAGGGTCAAATGTTTTTCTCTCATAATGTAAAAGCTAAAGGAAAAAAGGAATAAAAAAGTATCTCAAAAAAAAAAAAAAATAGAAGGGAGACCAACAGAGCCGAGGAAGGAGAGAAGGAGAGGTGGAGGAAGGAGAGGTACAGGAATGAGATCAACCAAGTGATTCTGTGCCCATGGACAGGCCTCCCACCACGGATCCTGCTGGTGTACGGAATTATAACACACTAATTAGAAAACAGCAATAGTAGAAGAGAAACCAGAAGAAGAACATGCAGATCAGGGTGGAGGGAGCAAGGGACAAGAAGGAAGGTCCTGGGGCATGAGATTGATTGAGTGARGTGCATGCATGAACCCGACTATGCATTACATCTAATTGCAATGCACTAACAGAAATGGGGGAAAAGGAGATCATCAAAACAAAATGAGAAACAGCTTCTTCGGGAAGATTCATGGAATCCGAGTGGTGGGTGGAGAGTCTGAACAGGGAGGACAGAAAAGAGCTGATGTGGCCTTCCAGGCCCAAAGTAATAAGAGCCTGGAATAGGAGAGGCAGGCCGACTCCGGGAGAAGGAAAGCCAGTGGGATTTGGGGGCTGATTGGTCAGGGAGGTACACGTGGGATTAACACTGAGATACGAGGGTATTGTTAATGAAAGTGTTTTTTCCCACTGGTGGTAATTGAAGAGAAGGCTCTTTGGCTTGTAAGGGAACTCAGAACTAGGAAGTCAGGGAGCTAGCTGGTCTATGGGAGTAGGTGATACATCTATTCTTAGCCACCCTTATGTGAGACAGAACATCCATACTGGAATTTGGATTTGATTAGAGCGTCAATCTTGGCTACAGACTGACTCTCTTCTCTCTCTCTCTCTCCCTCTCTCTCTCCCTCTCTCTCTCTCTCTCTCTCTCTCCTCCCCCCCCCTTTAATATAAAGCCAATACAGATCTTAACAGCATTTTAAAAATACTATAGCACTCTTTTAGTCCTGAAGAGGCAATTTCATTTTGTTTTCTGCTTTCTTTTTCTTTTTCCACAAAATTACAGGATTAAAACAAGCAGTCACCAAAACAAGCTGTGTTTGGACCTCAAATTTTTCTGGCCAGAAACCAAGAAGTAGTACATGGCYAGAGAGGGAGGAGGCAACACCCAGAGGCCTCCTCAACTTGAACTCCGACATTTCCATCTCAGGAGGATTTCAATGTCACTATTTCTGACCACACACACCCTCTGTCAAGAGGATTATAATTCCGAAGGATTAGCATATTACACCCAGTTTTTAAAATCAGATGTTTACACGGCACCCTATATTTTAGACAAAACCCTCATACATTAGTTTTCTTCCCCCAAAAGATGTTCCCTTTTTAGCTTTTAATTTCCAAGACTTTTTTTTTTTTWA